ATCAGCACGCCGTCGTAGCTGGCTGTTTCCAGAATCTGAAAACGCAAATTCTGTTCCGACAGCTTAACAGATTGGATGTCCATTTCCTTCTGCATGTTCGAAATCTGTTGTTGCGCGGGTCCGCGGAGTATTCCTCCTCCTCTTCCCCCGGTTCCACCGACGGCTCCCATTTCTTCCACCTTCTTCGTCAACGCTGTCGTCGATCCGTGCATCGAATCGACCGTCCGTCGGATGTCTTCGTTCGCTTTTCTGTCTTTCTTCGCAGTATTTTCCAAAGTTGCAATAGTGTCCGCTTGCCTTGCCAGTAGTTTCTTAAACGAAAGAGAAAAACATTTCATTAAAATTTCCGAGCGATTCGAGAAAAAAGAAAAGCAAATAATAAATATCAAGCTGCAGTTACCTGCAATTTACCGAGACGATCGTCTTTTGATTTATGCGTCAGCTTGATGGATGCTATCTGCTTCGCAAGTTCTTCATTTTTCTGGTGGTCCGCTTCCACCCGACTTTCCAGTTCGTCGAGCCGGCCGAATTTTCGAAGTTGGATGTCCATCTGACTTTTCAGTTCGGCGACTTTGCTAACGGCTCCGGACAACTCGGCGTTACACCGCGCTACCACCATCACGGTCATGTCGAGATGGCTTTGGACTCCCTCTTCAGCGTGCTTTTCGAGTTCCGCATTGACGCCCTAAAGTTGAGAAAGTGGAAAAAAAATACGTCGGTGTTCTTTGCATAAAGCAATCTCGAACGAATTTTTATTAAAACAATTTAGATATATAATAACCTACCTTGAAATCGCACCCGTAAAATTCGAATTTGCAGCATCTCTTCTGCCGAGAGCATCGTTCGTCCAGATGCGTTCTCAACTCTTCCCTTCGAATGTCATCCGCTCCGCAGTCGTTCGGACATGTCACCGTAAATTTAGGACAACTCCGTCGGTGCGCCTCGACGTCGCGATGCGGGAAGGGTGACTTGCAGAAAGTGCATTCGACCGAACGATGTTCGCACTCTGTTTCCAGATGTCTCTGCAGATCCTTGCGTGGCAGCTTGGTCGCACACCCCCGCGATCGATGCATACACGCGACGGGAAAGTAGTTGCAAAATTCCAGGTGCCGTCCGAGTTCTTTCAGCGTGAACGTTTCCGAACACCCCCGATCCTTGTGGGGACAGTATATCTTAGCTTTCGACATTTTCCGGCGTGCGTGATGATCGGGTGCGATTTCTTCTTCGGCGAACTTTTCTTCGCAGTTTGAACAGAGTAAATTTTCCCCGCCGTCGCAGCCGGGCGTCCGTCCCTTGATGCAGGCTTCGCAAAACCGGAAGCCGCACGGCGCCTGCACCGCTCGTCGGACGGCGAGAAGACATACGCCGCACGTCAGATCATCCGACACGTTCCCTTCCACAAACGTGTAATCGAGTCCGTCCTCGTTCATCGATGTCGACGCGAGGCTGCTCATCTTGAAATGATAGAGTCTCGTACGAAAAAATTGGCCATTCTTATAATAATCTAAGATGAGACTAACGTCATCGGTGTTTGCGCTACGTCACACATTTCCTTTCAACTCGAAACCAATCAGAAAGCTTCGTGATTCGAAGTACACATGACGTCATGTGTCATGCATCCTCGTTCATCCGGAAACCATACAGAAAGCGTCGTGATTGAAAGTACACATGACATCATGTGTGATGCATCTCCCACAAAAAAGAAGGCTTATAAGAGGCGCTCTCGCCGAGTTAAAGTCCACAATTTGCAAACATGAATAACATCAAGGAAATCACCGTCTCGTTCGTTTCTTCCAACGGTAACGTGCGGCTAAAGATATTCCCGAACAAGAACGACGAATACAACCTGTACATACCGACGTGCGTCGACGACGGTGACACTCGGGGAAGCTTCACGGTGCTCTCAAAAGCGACTTTGGACAGACAGACTGCGAATTTACTCGACGGAAGTTACATGAAATTGTGCCCCCTGAGTCGGAACACTGTCAAATGCCTGAAACAAGTCATGCTGAGGAACGAGATAAACATCTCGTCTAACGTTAAAAAATACCTGGTACATTCTCCGACCGACGTCGTCGCTTCCGAAGTTGCGATCGAATACTACTTGATAATCGGAAACATGCCGCTCCAGATATCGAGGAGATGCGTGGTCCACTGCGACGGAGACGACCCGTACCTTCGAACCGTGGCCAACCGTCGGATCGACGGATTCTCAGTCTCTCCGACAGAACAAGACCGTGCATCGACGAAGGATTGGAACTCCGCCGTTCTGGGGACCGGTCGAGTGGAACGAGATCGAGTGGCGGACGTTCTGGCGATCGCAAAGGACATGGTCTGATCCCATCCGGCGAAGGGCGAGACGGCGTATCTGGTGGCCGACGTTCTCCGCGAATTGGCAATCGCTGAGAACCCTGAAAGAGTCCGACTAGTGCAATGTGTGCTTGGATGCGGTCTCGGACGTGTTCACCCTCCCCTGCCAACATCTACTGATGTGTCTATCCTGTTCCGGACGGACGGACGGCGAGATGTCCGCTGTGCAGGTGCTTGATCGAGATGAAGATGTCGGAATGCCAAATTCCGGACGGCATCCGAGTGTACAGAGCGTGAACATTTTCTTTTCTCTTATATATATATTTTGTTTTCGTATTGTAAATAAAAACACAAACTGTTACATATATTTTGAATCATTAAAAAAATGAAGAGAAACTAAAAAATGCATTTTTTTTTCAATGTAGTTTATTGTATCCTTAGTCAACCTGGCATTAATGTCTTTGGAGAAAGTTATTCAACTAAAACAAAATAATAATAATAAAAGTGTGAGTATGGTATACCGGAAACCCGTCGTTTCGAAGACCAAAGTCATCTTGACGGTGTTGACGATTTTCGTCATCTCGGTATCGATAATCGTCGCCTTCACCGTATGGTCCGTACATTTCGGAGGTGCAGATTCGATCGAACCCAGCAGGAACGCGTCGTCGATCGCAAATGCGACCGCCGGTTCTGTCGGTTGGCGTTCGTGGCTCTGTTGATCGCTACGGCGGTGACGTTGCTCGCGCTCTTGGTGCGAAGGCCGAAAGATAGGTGCGACGACCATCTGTGCGGCGGCGGCGGCCGTGGACGATTGGAGCAAGACGGCGCGTCTAAGTACTGCGTGTGCGACGACGGATTCGCGGGGCCGGTGTGCGAACGGAAGATTGCGACGCACATGGAACCCGTCGACTGTTTCGGCTGCGATCAAAACAGCGGTAGGTGCGTCTACTCGGACGCCAAGAACGGTCAGCACTGCGTCTGTCCCGTCGACCGTTACGGTACAGTCTGCGAGCACCCCTACGCCGGACTGTCGGAAGCGATGTTAGCGTTCGCGGAGGCCTGTCTGTGAAACGATCGGCATGGGTCTGAAGCTAGCCCTGCTGGAAAAACCGCGTTTAGGTGGCTGCCGATAAGACCGTACTTTTGGATTTCCATCGTGACGGCGGAAGCCTGCTATCTTCTCAGCCACCTCATAGTCGCCGCCAGGGTCGTAGTCGCCGGAATATGCAAGACGCTGTACGAAATCACGAAGTTCGTGGAACCTCTCGTCCTCAATCACGGTAGGAAGAAGAATCTGCGCGAGACCATGTACAAGTTCCAATCCCTGTGGCATACGGTCGACGGTTGCGAGGGATTCGAAACTTGGTATCAGGTCGTAGGTTACGGCTTTCATCGACTCATCGGAAACGTGTTCTGCGACCGTCTCCGATGGTATTGCTCGATCACGTTCACGCGATACGTCGTCTACTATCCGATCAAATACCTGGTCTGGCAACCGATTCACGGCGACTGCTCACCGACGTACGAGGACGACGTCAGCTTCGGTTTCCACCTCGACCTCGTGTTCGACTTCGTCAGAAAGCACCTTATCCTGGTGATCGTCGTCCTGCTCAACTGCTGGCCGCTCATCTCGTACGGACTGTCGGTCTTCCGGCGAGCCTTGAAGTCCGTTCACCGGGAGATGGTGTACCAGCTGCACAGGTTGGATCCGGGAAACAGATCCG